CTGTTTGAAAATTCAATTTTAAAACTTAAATAAAACCAAGAAACTCCCTTGAAAAACCCTTTCACAAAACACCGACGATTTAGAAACAAGAATTAACACTGAGTGGTTAAAACTACGAAATATTAATTAATAACTTTTCCAATTATGGATTTCTGGAAATAGCTTTACTGCATCATAGGCTAAAACTACTTTCTCTACTATCACAAAGCAACATGGCGCCACTAGAATTACTTTAAAATTTTCAGCTTTCTAGGTAAATAGTTTTATACTACCATTCAGTAAAACTATTTCTAGAAATCTAGAATCTAAAAATGTAATCTATTAATACTTGGTGGTTTTAACCACTCTTTGTCACTCCTTGTATATGTATACATTTAACTACTCATTTGCAACAGACTATTTGGACCAATGATGATCATAAAACAAGGTATTATAATAATAAATATATCCATCATATAAACAAAGACAATGCATTTAACAATATCAATGTTATCATTAGTAGCAGTAGAGGTCCTTGTGAAAGAGTTCGTCCAGAGTAGTACTGCCACGCAGTAATGTCAGCGTTACGTGTTCAGGATTTGAAGGGTAAGGGTGCTGGTGAAATTACCGGCACATGGGACTTGTCAACTTATGTCTCAGGGTGACGGGCGCAGTGGCAGTGCCCCTCAGATCTTTGTGATTTAAAGCTCTGAGAGGCATTGCAACTGTTATGGACAGGCGTGTAACTTACTATCAGGCACGATTTGTTGGTCCCGTCACTTGATATTATAAAAAAAATGGCCTATCATCTCTAACTTAGATACTATATTTAGTTACGAAGTTACTTACCTTGGGTGACACCTGGTTGATACCGCGGATTCTAATAACGAACGCCAGCTTGGCCTCGCCGGGCACATAGTAATTGCCGCGATTGCGAGCCTGGAAATACATTCCATTGTATTGAGATTGTACAGAATTAAATAGTTTAGTACACACAACAAGAAATACTATAGAAGTGGTTATTTCGCATCAGACGCGTGACAATTACTAGATCTCGAAAGACCTATCTGAGCTCAGTCCACTATTTTTGCTTCTATGGTATGTTTGTGCCAGTTGGAAATTCTCTAAATCCTAGAAAAATGCCTTATTGTGCTGTTTTGAAATGCAAAAATGATAGCTGTGGTGGTATTTCATATCATAAGCCTTATGGCTTATTTTAACAAATTTTCTGTTACTCAAAATCATTTTTTTGTTACAAGAAACGAAAATAAAGCTTATCATAACATATTGCAGGGGGCAATATGATCGCTTTTAGTTTGGAGAACTAAATTAATAACTCCAATTCGTCCTCGTTCAGCAATAAACCGCTAGATGGCAGCACATTGATTCCAATTTCAATATAATATCAAAACGTCGTAACTTGTAATAATAGGTATTGATGGTATAGAACTTTCAGCGATTCACCAACAGGGTAAATGTTAAATTATATTAACAATCTAGAATTTGTTATTGCTTTTTAAATTTGAAACTACGACCAATCAATACAAGATTTTAGTGTTTCAAATTAATAATGTGTGAATTTTGGCGACATCGGTTCTGATAGTAATCGAGAGTTAAGGCATTTCCATTGTTTTTTTTTGTACCGTGGTGTAGAGTACAAAGTTGATGTCTATTGAATCCATGGAATGTGTATGGGCACTCTACAGTTCTGTCTCGGACCCAACAGAGGGTAACTGTAGAGGTTAATGCAATTGCGGGGCTGCACAAGGTTGTGTTACAAACTTAGCAAGAAATGGTCAAAAGGCACTGTTTACCCCAGTCATGTCTAATGTGTATGTATTAGTGCCCTTACCTGTCTAGCTAGCCTGATTTCATCACGTTCCCTGATGCGGTATTCCTTAACATACTGCTCTGCCCTCTTGAAGATCTCCTTACGCTTGTTCACTGCGGCCGAACGCCTTTTTAGTGTGACCTTTGACAAATAATGAAAATAGGTTACACATATGTTTATTTTGTTACAAGTTTTAACATATTACTTACTTACATATCAGATAACAGTGTAACAGCATCTTTTTTCAGATGAACTATGCCTTATTTAATATGGTAATCATCATTAAAGAGATCCTTCAACCAAGCCACAGTCAAGCTTTTTACCTGATATCGGTGTATTCATACACGGTTTTTATACGTACGACTCCCGCATTTATCCACACATATCTACAGTAAAGACACAGTGTTTCCGAAACAATTTTGGATGCATAATGGGAATTTTGTAATCCCTTTTATGTAAATTCCTTGTAAAAGAAAATGACATAGGGCGAATTCAATAAAGAATAGTTAATACCTGTAGGCGACGAGCCCTAAGAGCATCCCTCCTCTTGCGGTGCTTGAGGACGGACTCTGGTACAGCGGGCAGCTTCTTACTGTCCTCCTTACCCTTTGCGGGCTTCTTAACGGCCGCAGCCTTTTTCTCCGTAATCGCAACCATCGTGCTGAAAAAAAAAAATTTTACTAAAATTGTTGAATTTTGATATTATAAAAACCATTAACATCAAAATGTGAAAGTCAAAACTTAATACTAGTGGCATCATTGCGGGGTGCAAAAGTAACATTCAGTGTTTAGTTTTAGTATTAAATAGGCATTACAATACTGTGTTGCAACGTTACATTATTTCAATAAAATTCCTAGCTAGTTCATTAAATACACTCCTTAACACATCATTCAAGACACCTTGCATTGTCAGTATTAACACATCAAACGCCACATGTATACCTTGATATTCACCCAATGTTTTTGTCCCAGGCCAGTGTGTCCCTAGCTATGCACAGGTAAGGCTTGCCTCTCTAAGCCGACATGTCTCACTTTATACATAGTTTTGAAGATTTTGTAGGAGCATTTGAAAGCCCTGGCCATCACAAATCGTTCAGAATTTTTGGGATATAAATATCTCTGATAGTTTTGAAGTTATGATTCAATAAAGAAAAAAAATTAAAATGTGTCAGTTGCCTTTTTTTTTAAATACTCAATTTATTGAATGAGATCTAATTTAGTACAATAAACTTAACATATGAATTATTACTTTGCTTACTCATTGATAGTTAGTAGACAAGCACTAAATAGCTTACATTTATTATATTTTAGGTAAATGTATCCTACCTAATACAACTGACAAAAAAAATTAACACAGAGCACAGGTGTTCATAATATTGAATTCACATAATAAATTAATACCAATAGGAACTATATATGTAAAAAGATGTGATTCCCAAGATTTTTACATTGAATGCCCTTGGCACTGAACTTTTTCATGTCTTCGGTATAAACAATACTTGATTTATCAAAAACTTTTACCCAACTTTGTATCTGGAACACTAATATCCACTTGCACTAAACTTAAGTACGTCTTAAACCAATGCTTGCAATGCAAAAGACACTCTTAATACATTGTGTTATAAAAGTCATCAATATGGCATTGGTTTAGACATACTTCAGTTTAGTACAAAAAGACATTAACATCATTTCCATACACTTTTAATCATGCTTGTAAAACTACCCTCCTCATCATAACAAATGCATTTGAGTAAGTTTCAAGAGTTTGGCATTCAAAGTTTTAGTGTCACCTAAATAAATGCCAATTACGCTGATTTTGCTTAATAAAACTGCAGCTAATTATGATATTAAAAAACTGATTAAAAGGAGTTGTAGATCTCGTTTCACTGGTCCTCGATATGTTAATAGCTCAATTTCGCACACTCAACATAGTCTCCCACTAGAGAAACCAGCGGACACAACATAGACAACTATAAATCACATCCAAACTCACGAGAGAAATAAACGTAGGTCATACAAATATTTCTACCGGAGAGAGAATTGAACCTGGGACCTCTGCATGGCAGTTCGGCATGGTTACTGCTCAGCCATGGAGGCAGTTAAAAAATAAAAAAGCAGTAAAAAATTTTATTTATGTTTCATAGATATAGAGGCAAAATATATAATAATATAGATATGTTACAAAGGAATTTTTTTTTTTCAGCAATAATATTTTAGTATTCCAGCTCCTTAAGAATAAAAAAGGTGGCACGAATTTTGTGTCCGGGAGTGTATTATGATCTCATTTACATCCCACCACTGGATATCTCAATGGGACCTAATAATTAGGAATTTATATTTTTACCCTGAATATACATAATTACAATGACGACTAACACTCCAAAGAGCTGTTGATTAGTGCTAATTATGTATGAGTTAAATGCTCTTTTTTAACTAACCACAATCACTATCATAAACCATGGAATTTATCAATGATATCAGCAAATACTATTATACAATAAGGTCAAGGGGGGATGATTTGACCCATAGATGCTAGTTTGGAACTAAAAAGAGTAATACTTTGTTTCCATTCATGAATAAATGGGATAATTTCACAAACCCAAGACAGTTTTTGGAGGTTAGGTTATGGGAGAAAAATTAACAAATCTAGCTATAAGTTATTGTACAATCAGATGTAATGAAGCTACAGTTTCTAATCGAGATTTACAAGCACTACACTCAGTAATATGGGGATTGTTTCAGGAAAACAGAAAGGTTTTCCGACATCGCGGCATGTCCTAGTGCCGCCCGCAATTCATGCTCACTTTTCACAAAACTCGCGAATTATTCTATATTACCGACTGTGTAAATGGATACTTTAGCGCAATGACAATCTAATAGCACCAATTTTACAATAAAAAACTAAATTTTTAACCACCTGCGAGGCAAAACTCCACGCGACACGTGTGTCAAGTTATCAAAAGAAAGAAACAGAAAAATGACTTCCGGTTGTCGCCATTTTTATTATTTTAAATGGCAACACACACAGTCTTTCAGGGACATTATCACAGTCTTTCTCTTTCTTTTACAAGCAAAATTTATAACAGACTTATTTGTTTTCTCTATCGACATTCTTAAAAGACTTAACATTAATATGTAAATGGATCGCAAATCAAAAGCTCTTTGGTGCACTTCCTGTACCGCGTATTTTCCGATCATTGAAAAAACGTTTCCATAGTTACTTGAATTCTCGACAGTTATTTACTGTTGTTTCAGTTGTTATTTTTGTGCAATGTAAAACGTTAAAAATAAGTAAAAATGGTTGAAAAAGACGCCCAGCTAAGTGCCCTAGATATTGGCGAACTGGACTTGTTTGTTGAAAGCATGGCACCGTCGCAAATATTGAGTATTGGGAATCAAGCGTAAGTTGTTAAATTTTTTCTTAAAATGAGTGCATTACGTTGCTTACATTAATCGGGATATCGTAAAATAATGTCTAGATGGGTAGACTGGCACATAAGATTACAAAAATTGAACCAGCAAGCGGTCTTAGAAGCTCAATCTATGATGGAAGAACTTACTAAAGAAACAATAATTTCAAGTGGAAAGGTGAGTATTTGAGTTATATATTTTTTTGTTTTGGTATCCGAAGCCTTAAACGAAAACTATTTTTTAAAGGAAAATAGTACTATGATTGTCGGCTAGATGACGCTATTAAAATTTTAATTTTTCAGCTACCCGTTCTCGTTTACGAAGCTATTTGCATTCAAGTATGGCGTATCAAAATATACCCGCATATTTTGAAACTTCAACCGGCACCAGCCAATACTTTTGGTATTTATATGGTGGTAAGCTTAACTGAACAACTAATATTATGTTTGTGCACAGCACTCTTAATGAAATATTATTGAAGATAGTTTCTCGTGTCGAGAAAATATTTTCTGGTTTTTAATGAACTCCAACAAGACAAAACTTTTGGGTGATATTATTTGGATGATAATATTACTTATTTAATTAAAAAAGGCTATCAGTATTGCTGGGTAACTCTAGGAAAAATTTCATTAGGTGGAAAATTTTCAAAATGTTTTTAGAAAATATAAAAAAAATTAAGAGAAAAATTTGGTAAAATATTAAGATTTTTCTATACGGATATTTTTTCATGTCTCCCTTCTATCTACTAGGTATAAATAGGTTTTTGACATAGTATAATAACTGTAGTATGTTATTCATAATGTCAATTATTTTGACGCAATTATTTTTTTTAATACAGGACAGTAGGGCGTCGAGCCCTACTGTCCCAACCGACCATTTGGTTCGAGTCGCAGTAGATAAGTGTGAAGAAAAGTATTATTAAACTTTAATCTGTAAGTTGTAAAATTCATTTTGGTATGACTTCCAAATTGTGCCATTGGTGAATGACGTGTTATGAAACTTCTTAAATCAATTTGATTTTAACATATCGGCTGTGAACTGGCAACCGATACCATCTCAATTTTCTAAAGATTTCACTTTTGAATACCATTTTATGCTATTTCATACTCCGCTGTGTTGCAAGAATTGACATTGTTTTTAATAACATGTATAATAAAAATATTATATATATATTATATATAAATGACGCAAACAAGTTTTTTCTCCACCAGTAAAGTTGTCAAAATTGAGATAGTACTGGTTGGCAGTTCACAGTCGATATACTTATTAAAATACAGAATAGAAATTTCAACCTTAGAGCATGAGTTCCTTTCATACTTTTCTGTAGAATGTGTAAGAAGGTTATCGGAACGTAAAGGTAGGCTAAGGCGTATCAGATACCTTGGGCATCGACTGTACCTTGTACACCTAGTCATTATTATCTTTTCGGCCAAGTCAGCTATATTATTGATGTATTCAATCATTTGCTGCTTTTAAATATTGATAGTAATAAACATATTGCATCTTGCATGAATATTGTCATCATAATAAATATTCTTAATTCAAAACAAATACAGCTGTTAGTTTATGCATGGTTAAATTATTCATCTACGAAACAAACTAATATCATGTTAGTAAATGTAATAATATGACAATTAAACAAATGTTTGTTAATTTAGCAAAATAAATCAGTGTCCAGTCGACAGCGGAATGAGACAGGTTGGGCATTTAATTTTTCATTTCCAATTATCGAATCGTTATTTTGAATTTTAAAAAGTGAATGTATTGTAAACGGAATTGGTTTGAATACATACAGACCCCTATGTTAATATTTGAAACCTCGTCTGTTGCGGAAATGTCGCGAACTTTTTTCTAAAGATGGCGCGAACATTCTTATCAAAGGTCAACACTAGCACCACTAATCTATTACAAAAAACACTTAAAGATACTTTGCGTGACGATATTCGCGATAAATATTTTACCCCGCTGATTATTTTACAGCTTTACCATGAAGCAGCGGCAGTGGGCCTGCTGGAAACCGTGTTGTTCCACGAAGATGGCGCTCAATGTCTCAGCGAAGTAATGGTAGACCTTTTACAGTATGCCGTAGAACAATTGACCACTCTGCTTGCTCTTATCAAGTAAGTTACTTATTTCTAATGCTTATCGTATTGATGTCACACACTATAATGCTTGCCATCGTGGTGAAAGCATTTGCCAATCAGTAATAATAATAATAATTTATTCAGTACAACAACAGTAATACCATAGGTAACAAAAACACATACAATTTTTGGTTGTACATAAACTGACAGAAAAACAGTAGACCGGCCATCAATCAGTTTCCAAACTAGGGTAACTCTGTACTTTGGGAGCTGATGACGATCCTCCGCCAGTAAATAAAATTACAAATATTTTACAACCGGTTATGAGGACGTGTACAGAAGAGTGTGAACGTAATGTAAGTAAATAAAACAGCACAATCCAATATATACCTATATACTTTGTGTCGTCCTACAGTGGAAATCTTTTTTTTATTTATTTATTTATTATTTATTTATTATGCTTTATGCAAACACTGATACATGCAAATACTATTACTAAGTAAGTTAAGGGGAGAGCGTCAAACAGAATAAATTTTGGTTTCATACGTTTGTGTTTATAGCCATTTAAATAGTTCCTTTTTGATCGCAAATGCGCATAAGGTATATATAAAATAAGCTCAATGCATAAAATTGATCATCCCACATTGAGTGTATAATCTAGCAGTAGGGAAATCCCCTTCAATAAACTGTATTCATCCACTGATTTGCCACCCTTAGAAGTGGAATACATATTGTCTTCAAATTTGAATCGGACTATTACTGAGGCACTCCACAATCAAAGAACCACCGAAATCGGTTCACAAATGTCAGAATAATCGCGTAACAAACACACAAAAAAACATGCAGTCGAATTGAAAACCTTTTTTGAAGTTGGTTAAAAACGAACTATTACTGCTCTAGCGCCTTATGACAACAATACCGCCTACTTTTGTTAATTTATTGCACGTACCTTAATGAACAAGGGTGAGAAAAAATAAATTTTTAGTTAGGTACATATATTACAATTGTTTTTTATGCTAGTAAGGGCTACCTGACACCGCCAACAACAAAGGAGCTAGAATGCGAAACCGCCATTGAAGAACTCGAGCGACAGAAGAGCGATCTGCAGTTCGACATTAGCATGAGAAGCATCTCTATCGTGCGGTAAGGTGTTATGCCACTATCAGCTTGAAGAATTTAACTTTTAGACATATATGACACTGGTCTTAGGATGCGCCGAGAGTCGCTCACGACGCTTCCAAAGAGCCTGAGTCGCTCACCGCGGCACAAGTTAAGTAAACGGTTTATTGCTTTCCAACATCATTTACAATAGCACCATTTGCACCCGGTTATGTTGTTATGTACGAATTTCCGATCACTGGGGAAAATGTAACTGTGAGCGCGTTTCCATACTACGTCCGATTCGTATCAGTTCCGAATCTGAGAAATGACGGTCCGATATCGTCGATTTACTTTCTCAAACTAGTATCTTAAAGCACAAAAGTACTGAAATGCAAAAATGGATTGTATATACAAACTTTGCAGGCTGATTTCACATCACGATCCCTTCATATTCAGCACACACTGGCTTTAACCTTTTTTTAAAGGAATGCATCGAAATTAACACCCTTGTTATGAAATTTAAAAAATAATAGTAACAGTAAATAGAAAGTTTTGCAATCTCCTGAATAATCACTCTTCGTAAGATACCTACAAGTTTCAGAAAGTAAGGCATCGATATATCACAAGTATCATTTTATCTCTAGGTGTACAAGCAATATTCGAATTTTCTCGGATTCCGGTCCAAGTTTGCGAGATTTGTATAGTCTCGGATTCGGAACGAACATGAATCCGATGCAGTGCAAAAATGCATTTAGTATTCCATTTTGATCGCGTGGCTACTAGAGAGCTGGCGAACGCCAGCGCTGGACGTGTTAATTTAATAGAGTTGTTTCAGTCGACACAGCGGGTCGATTGTCGCTTTCAGCAATTACTTGCCAAAAGAGGCGCAGTCGACTCGTTGTTTACACGCGAGTCGTAACAGCTTTACGTGCAGAATAATAAACGCTAGTTATTTACATAAATGGCTTATACCGGTGTTGAACTAACCCCAGCTATCTGACGGAGCACATGGAAGCGGCAGGCACCGGCGCCTCCGTAGCCACGAATCTGTACAAGACCAACGATGTTCCCTCGCTGCTCAGCCATCTCCTGCAGCTAGAACCCTGGCGCCGAACTGATGAGAAGGGACATTTGCAGATGTTTAACTGTGAGTTACCAGTCCCGTAAGTGTGCCTTCAGTGACAGGTTGATTAGGCAAATTACATTGCCGTGAAACCGGAATGGCAGCGAATGTTTGTAATAAATAATAGGCAGCACAATTAACTTTATGTCAATTGTGTAATGTACAGACTAGATACGATACGGTAGCTCCGGGAATTCCCGAGACTGCGCGAGAATTTTCCGCAAGATACGCGACTTGTTTTTTGACTCGTGTCTAGTTCGTACGTTACACAATTCACAAAGTTTAATATGCTACATATTGTTACGAAAAATCATTTCCACTTGTTCCGCGGCAATGTAATTGAGTCTGTCGTATTCTAGAACTCTACTCAATGCTCAAGTCAGAATTTGAGTATGGCTTAAAGCACTTGAAATCATACTCAAGTCCCTGCCATTAGGGTCGTATTTCCAGTGCTTGTGTTGCCAGTGCAGTCCTGACTTGAGTATTGAATAGACTTCTAGAATACGACCCTAAGGATCGTATTCTAGAACTCTACTCAATGCTCAAGTCAGGATTTGAGTATGGTTTAAAGCACTCGAAATCATACTCAAGTCCCTGCCATTAGGGCCGTATTTCCAGTGCTTGTGTTGCCAGTGCAATCCTGACTTCAGCATTGAATAGAGTTCTAGAATACGACCCTAAGAGCTGGTTGCATCGAATTGGTTATGTACTCGATGTCTGGTTGTATTTATACTCCATACATGGTGTTATAAACGCCGAAAAGTTAAATTTTCCGATTGGTAGATTGTATACGTACAATTAAAAAACTACCTACTTGACTAGGTACGATTGGAAGGAAAAGAAAAAAGAAAGAATTTGCTAATTTAGCCTTGTGTACGATGTACAATGCATCAATAAACTCAAGCGGGCTGCAAATCTCCGTACCACAGATTGTACGTAACTCTAAAAAAAGTCAAAATTCAGATGGCGGTGATCACTAGCCTGGAAGTAGTTTGTATTATGTAAATGATCGTGGATATCAATTAACTCCTCTTTAACGTGAAATATAAAATGTCAGTCTTTTTTTTATTGATCGTGAGCTGACATGGCATTGTGTATTCAGTGATTTCCCAGCTGTGATTTTTGCGCGGCGTGGGCGAAAGTCATAGTACAGGTTGCCAAAGTACATATATAATATTTTTTCTAGTCAAGTATACCTAAATCTTTACCTGGAGCCACTAAAGAATAATTCCTACGTCGACGTTATAGTATGTTTATAATTTTTTAAATACTGATTTCTAATTTTGGGTACGCGTCCACACCCTGTGTTTGAAACTGGTTTTCATGATTGAAAAAAAATCGAACCATATTTTGAAAAAATATTGGTGCACCCGTATTCCCAGTAAATATTATTGCCTGTAATTAAATAAATGATTAATTAAACGGTCTTATATAAAGGAATATCGTACCAAGAACAATCGTCCTCGGGAGGAGCCTAATTTTGGTGAACAATTTTAAATGATCAAATATTGTAAAGTTTGGAGAACTTTCGGATAACTACCGCCAGCCCCCTCCAGAGTCGCGCTAATGCGCGGTGTGATCGGTTATGTCGAGATCGTGCTGCTTTTCTCGCCAAAAAGGTAAGTACTAATACTTAGTGACATGGGGGCCAAAGCTAAACAATTTTTGTGATCATTTTACCGAGGAAGCAAATAAGGTTTCAAATAGTGCTGTATGCATTTTGAATGTTGATCTTGGGTACTTTCGATATGCTATAGTTAATGTTGCCTTAACTTAAATAGTGTATTTTTAAAAATAACTTTTTGCTAATTTTCCACTTTTGGTGACACAATTTTGGTGATTTATCTGTATTCAATAAAATTGTATCTTATCACCACAATTAGAATGTAAGTAGATTTTTCTGTCATAATAAGAATGTTGCCTACAAATTAATAATGTTGGAAAACAAATTAAAGTTCATTTAATTTATAAATTTCTGTGTCGGTAAAATATTTTAAAATGTAAGTGCGCTTTTGACCTTCATCTCGCCTGGTGGACAGTGACGATGAGGTCGACGATGGAGCATGCACACCTAAATATTGCGTATTCACTCTCGCCTTGAAAGGGCCCAAGTTATAGCATTCAGGGAAGAAGTCTGCAGGTAGGAAATTCCAATTGTTTACCATATAAATGTGGAAGCGTAACGCTTCACGCGAATCTTTGGCATATCCACAACATAGGGGTGAAACCCAAGCCTACGTTTAGTCCCACGGTGAAGAGGAAGGTGGAATTAAATCGTGTAATTCCATCGCATACTCTCAGTAATATATCCCGTAGAATATCGACAAGCAGGCAAGTTTACGGCGGTGTCCAAGGCTCTGCAGCTTCGCATCGACTAATTTCGTGTTACCTGTAAGCCTCTTAGCACGCTTGTCGATTGAATCCAAGGTGACCAGTTAGTATGTAGCAGAGCCATCCCGTAGGTGGCAGCAGCACTCCATACACGAACGGGCTTGTGCTTGGTACAGTTGAAGCAACTGTCCCGGTGCGAAGTAACGCCTCACTCTGGAAAGGGTGCCAATCTTCCTGGATGCATTTTTGGCCATGGATTCTATGTATCTGCCAAGTTCAAATTGGTGGACATGTAATAAAAACGTCGTAGTGATTTGTTTAAATAACAGAATATCGATAATATGTCTGCTTACAAGAACAACACTATCTCAAAATAATCGTTATAAACAATCATCAAAATATACTAACAAACAGGCAATCTAATGTAACTAAAGCAAAATTCGCCAAGACTTATGAATAAACTACTTAAATGAGTCTAATTACATGAGACATTTGGGCTATTGTATGATTTATAGGCAGAAAAATGTAATGTAACATTCGGTAGTTTTCCGCTTTTTCTACTGCCGCACCCCTTAATGTTGCAGCGACGCATTTTTATCAATACTTAAATGTTCTCACTGTCAATATTTTTGTTCATTTCATTACAATTCGTCATTGACCTGGTTTACATAGTCTAAGGTATTATAAATAATGTGACTATATTTTTTTCTCTCGTATCGAGACGCCTGTAAATTTATTATTGTTTTAAAAATAAAACACTATTATTGTTTTAAAAATAAAACACAAATGTTTATGATAGTTAATTAAAAAACTTAAAAAAAAAGAGCTAATATACTATAAATTGAAAAAAAAAGACAGCCCGGCACATCACGCCACCGATTCATTCCTGCCAATGCACATGCAGTACGGTCGCATATAAAACTAAATAAACGCTACGGGCGACGAGGTTTACTTGCTGCTACGCTTTCGTGCTATTTGTTTAAGTTTATTAACACGTGGGTCCTGTTTTGTCAAAGTGGGACATTTTTAAGTATTTTGGGGACAGTGTGAAACGAAGCTTAAAAGTGGGACGTATGGTCACGTTGCTTATAAACAAATTTTTGTCCCGCGATACAGGGTTTCCCTAAAAAAAATGAAATGTAACGCTTCCTAATATGGGTAGACGGCGCTAATCCTAAACAAACTACAAGAATAGCTGACATTATCAATAAAAATCTGTACAGCGCCATCTAGTTGATTTGTTTGCTATCAAGAAATTAGAGTAGCTTTGATAATTGCAGTTTGTCAATGTAAAAGAAATGAGTTACAAACATAGCTATTTGGTACTCGACGCGACGTCTGGTGTCCCAAATAGGTACTAAATACCTGAATACGCCGTCTTCAATTATTGGTAGACATGGGTAAAACACCCACCTTTATTGGTCCATTGTACGATTCACTGTTACGCAGTATAAAAGAATTTAAATCTTTACATATTGATTTTAAAGTTCACATTTGCGTGGGACTTGTACTTCTCGGAATACTCGCGCGCTCCATAAAACGCATCCATGTCTAATTTAGATTCCTCATATCTCTTAACAGTTGGTCGTTGGAGCAAACCAAATTCTGAAGACCTATTCCAAATGCACCGCAGTGAGGTCCAGCTGTGGTTGTGCCTGAGACAGCTTCTTTTGGAGCCCCGCCTACCTCATTACTACACTATTGATGATTGTCGACGTAGTACTTTTTGCAGAGTAAGTTAACAATAAAAAATAACTAACAATTTTAAAAATGTGCCTGCAACAAATACACTTATAGGGCAGATTATGAATTTCAGATGGGAAAATACATTTAACTTGGAATTTTCCACGTAACTCCCAGTAACGAATATTCCCCGGTAGTGTATAATAATATCCTAAAAAGTTATAAAGAAAACAGCTGAGCTAAGCTAAGCTGGAGCTAAGCAAATAAAATTATTTGCCACTTTACAGCAGTGTTGGGCAAAATTTAATTGTTCTGGCAGTTAAAGGCCCTTTGGGGGGCCGGCCACCAACAGGCCCCCCAACCGGCCCCCCAACAGGCCCCCAACCGGTCCCCCGACCGACCCCCGAACCCACCCCCTTACCCATATTCGTAATGACACTTTTTTTCCGTACTTTCGGTTTTAATTGTTAGTTTCAATTATTTCTTAGAACAACTAAATAAATTAATTGCAATTAAAATCAATTCAATTGAAATTAATTGTAATTAAAATTAACTCCAATTAAATCAATTGCGACGCGTCGCAATTGATTTCACTTGAATTGATTTTTTAATCTGATTGAATTTCTGATTGAAGTTTAATTGATTAATACCCAACACTGCTTTACAGTCACCCTTTTGTCATGAAATCGCCATTTCTCAAAACGTTTTTGTCATACCATACAATCCGGCGTTACATTAGGCAAGAAAAGGAGTTAATTAATATAAAAAACTTCACATAACACATACCCGCGAGTAATAGGAATTGTACGAACATCTACCTGCAAATCTTGTTTTTACAAACGATGAAATATTTTATACCCGACTAAAGACGACTTCAAATTAGACGCTTATAGAAGCGCTACAGTGGTGCGTTTATAACGCGGCGACCGCACAACATTCATGCAATATCTGGAAGCGCAGTCACAGCGCCACTGTCGTGACACGCCCGCGCCACTTTTGTATTACTTCAGCCACTTTTGAAGTCGCTTAGTATACGAAAAGACTTCGTATCGATTAAAATCGCTTACCGGAAATTGCGCGAAACCGGATTCATCCCTTACTTTGCCACCCTTAGAGTTGCAATATTTTCTTCAAATTTAAATTGGACCACTACTGAGGTACCCTTTCCAACAAAAAAAGAATCATCAAAATCAGTTCACAAATCCGGAGTAATCGCGTAACCTACATACAATCAAAAATAAATACAGTCGAATTGAAAACCTCCTCCTTATTTGAAATGGTTAAGGAATGATTCTATTTTATTCTACATTAGTGTTGTTCCTTAATAGTTGCAAGCGAGGATCTCCGAACCGATGCTAGACCAAATCCCTCCTCTGACGGAGTTGAAGATGTTCCTCTGCCGGCTCTCCGTCGGAGATTACTCCAGCCTCCACAATCGCACTAATGGGGTGTCGCCCAATCCTGGTTGCACTCTCATCGAGGTTGTACCACAGGTATGATGTTGAAATTCTCGAAACAATTTAAAATGCGTTGAAAGTATTTCATTTAATACGTCCTTATCCTGCACAGTATAAGGCTCATGACGATACAGATTAAAATTAAAATTTTGGGAATAACTTTTAGTAAACTAACTGTTTTATTGCTAAATAAATATAGCTAATCTATCCGTTTTTAAGCACTAATACAGGTATTCATTTACTTAGAAGTCTAGACTTCTAAAATTTAATTGTATAATTTTATGATAATCGTACAATAATTAAGGTCCCTTCCTTTCTTATCGTTATATTTTATTTTAGGTACTTGTAGAATGACATAAATAAATTTATATGAACTTTTTAAATAAAATAAATGTAGCGGGACAATTCAATATTTACCTGTCAAATATGCTTGAGCCGTTTGCGTGGTCTGCGCTGACCTTAACCTCACAATAAGACGACATAAGGAGCTCCCCACATTTGACGTATTCAAATAATAGTTTGACATACAGCACAACACTGGTACTCAAATGAAATGAACATTTTCTTACAGATAAAGAACGCGTATTTAAAACAAGTTCACAAGCGCACAAAATCCATAGCAAAAGAGCAACTACAGTACTTCAACATGGACGGCTCGGAAGAGACACGCAACATGGCGAAGAAACTTCTTGAGTCATACACCAGTGACGTTGCTTTAGCGATGGACAGTGGAGGCGCGAAGTGCGCTCGCTGCGGAGAGAAGGCGAGCAAGAAGTGCTCCAGGTGCAAGTCTGAATGGTATTGTGGGAGGTAAATTGTAGCGAACGCCACACATTGGTGTGGTGTGACTTCTAAACTAATTTGATCGTACGCGGTTAACAGACTTGTGAGTTTATTTATTTTTACCTTTTTATTGAGGAACAAACAGCTTTTTACAACTATAAAATAAAAAGTACATAAAGATGATCAAGTATAAGGTTTAACCAAAGACAAGCAAGTATAAGGTTTAACCAAAGACAAGCAATGCTCAATTAAAATTATTTTTTTTATTACACTATTCTATTAGTACTAACTTAAATTCTATAACTATGTAAGTACTTGGTACTTGGTGTAACGGGATGGTGTCCGCAACTCGACGTCAAGACGCCTATTTAACTATGTAAGTAATGAAAAAAATGTAATAAAGTTAAAACAAAGAAAGTTTAAACAACTAATGATGAGCGTACAAATCAGTTTTAAAGTGTGATTTGTTGATCTTTAAACTCCTGCACAGAAGAATTAAATATGTCAACTTCATTACATTTTACATTGTCTAAGGAACATGTCCTTTTTATGAAACTGTTGCTACCGTAACATGTTTTGTGGTTTTGTAACTTAACAACAAAAAGATCTTTTTTACGATTGGATCTTTCATTATTTCGCGGCACACAAAATAATACATTTTCCAACAAATACAAATAAGGGTTATAAAAGTTTGTGCGAAAACCGCGCCAGTTAAACTTTTTATTTTGTCGTAACTCATAATAATATGAGGTAAAGGACGTAACGGTTGGAATCCACTTATTAGCACCGCGATAATAAAAGTGTGTTTTACGCAGGATATGGATAAGGTAAACGAAGACTTTCGGTATGGACAAAAATGTTGACGCAGACCGCGGTGCTCATATTGACAAGTGTGCTCCAACCATTGACCTGCCAACAAATGGACGGCGGGTCTAATACAAAAACCACGAAAAAAATGTCCGAAGTTAACCTATACAAACGTAGTGACATGTAACGAAATATAAAAATAGGAAATGAAAGTATTTTTCCGGATTTAAATAGCGTATATTTGTTTTTTCAAACAAACCGACGTTTGCCCGTTACAGCTCCCATGGTCACGGTTGACTGAGGTGGTACCAGTTATGTCTATAATATTAATGCAAACCACCCCATTTTTTTTTTCACTATAGTTACAATAGTTATTAATTAAATACCTTATTTTTAATTTTACAAAGAAAACATTCCAATTTACGCTACATTAAGTTTTACAAATTATTTTATTGAATGAATTTTTGAAAGTTTGGGATTTTTCATTAGAGGAAATACTGGATCCCAAACTGGTGGGACGGAGAAACCATCTTCCCTGTTGAAATTAGGATGTTTTTTAATTTCCATGGCCTCTCCTGGGTAGATAACGGAATAAATAAATTAAAAAAAAGATAAATTTAAATCCGGAAAAATAGTTTCATTTCCTGTGTAACAATCGCGAAAACCTAAGAACTCGAAATATAAAAAACTAAAACATTTAATTTAAATTGTAAGGTCATTGCAGTACTGCCTAATTTTGCTTGCACCAATTTAAGGGCCCAAAAACACTATATTCAGCTTCTACTCTGGAAATTTAACAAAATGCATCATATTTAGCTTCGACTGAAAATTACTTGAACACAAGAGTAATGAAGCCTTTATCGTAAATATTAATTAATTTTTATATATATTATTATGTCGAATTTTGTACAAATTTACTAAAAGAAATAATAAAGAGTTGGGCAGATACATGTATACAAATATTACTACAAATGTAAAAATAAGCGTGTACTATAAGAAATGTATCGATATTCCAACAAACGTAAACTCAAATATCCGTAATTCCGAAAACCGCTTTATAATAAAACTTTCGAGTAATTTTGATGTTTTTCACAAAGACAAAATTAGCTTTTGTTTTGTAATCTTCCTAAAAAAATACATTTAACATTATGAAAATCCGATTTAACGTTATGTGGGGCAAATGTATTTTCTGACTTCTGATAGAAAATCCCAAGCCGTGAAACGAGTATCAATATTTTGTTAGTTATTGCTAACGTTTAATAAAAAAATCATTTTAAAAATAAGATATAAATCAAAGCGACTCTATAATTTATTTGTTCTAAATATTTCAATCGCTTGTGAAAAATTGAAAATGACCAAGAAGTTTACATAAGCTTCTTGAAATTGACGTAATGGGTCTCTTTCCATCTTTTGCGCATGTAATGTTTTGCGCGTGTAAAAAGGACAGTTAGCTCTTTGATTATTTTGCGTGCTTTTGTAATTTATATTTACGATACATAAAACTACTATAAAACTGTAAAAAATAACACTTTTAAATGAGAACTATGATAACACAATATATTTATTTAGTGAAAATATGATACAAAATCCTGTTTTTACACTTTACTGCAGTAATTTTTACAAGTTATTATTATATTGGTACTGCATGATTGACAACCGCGCTGTCAGTCGAACAAACGAAGACTGTTACGCGATTGACGCACTGTATGCGATTTTAACGCCCTATAGGTGCAGACACTTTTAGCGCGAACCCGACGTCCATTCATTGGTAGGTCTATGGCTCCAACCCTAAATCTCATTAGTAATTAGTGGACCTTTGAAGGTCTTATCAAAGGAAAAACGGTATTTTTGTTTCTATTATTATTATCTTGGTGTCTGTCGACATTATAATGTGCCCGCTGTAGAAGTTACGGTGGAATATTCCCATGATATTTTTGTTTTCCAGGGAATGCCAAGTCCAACAGTGGGCTAAGCACAAGGAGCTGTGTGATCAACTATCTAAATTGCTGATCTAAAGTTCAAATTTATCATTAATTTATTTATTAATTATTTAACTGTCAATTATGTGAAACTGAATTAAGGGTCGGGGCACAAATGATTAGTTCATCATCTAAAAATAACGCTTTTTAGGCGAGGTGCTGTAGCATGCTGATAAATACAGTTGACCCTTATGCTCTATTTTGCACTGACCCTATAATAGACCCTATAGTATAGTATATACAGTCTTTAAATAAAAAGAATTTTCGATTTTTTTGGATTTTTATTGTAACTTAGAGCATACACCTAGGACTTAGCTGGACGACTTCAGGTAGTCTTTCAGCACATCCAACGCTGGCGTCTCTTCACCGAAGTCCTGCAAAAAGATATTATTAAATTTATAGCGTGTACAAAAAAAAATTCTTATAGCATGATAGATATTCTAACCTATACAAAAACAAATGAAAAACAAACGTTACGTCTTCATTGGCCCTTTTAACCCCAGAGGCAAACATTTTCGGGTGATGTCTTAAATAATAACCTCGTACTAAAACCGGGTACCAATAAAGTCTAAGCTCTGTCGCTACAAGCAGTATAAGGCTTCTAGATCATGTATCAAATGTGCTACACAAATGGAACAATTGTTATACAAGATTTAAATATTAGGGGTTAAAGTATGAAATTGCCGTTTTATTGCAATAGGTTCTTTGAATTTTCATAGAATCTTCATGGTTTGAGGTTTTCGAATGAAACTTTTTTCAAATGGTTTGTGATTTTTTTTTTTTAAATTTGAAACATTTGAATATCGACTTTCAATTGTTTTTGTTATTCAATTTAGACAAGAAAGATGGCTACTGCGAAAATTCGAGTGATTTTTGAATACGAGTTCCGACGCGGAACTAACGCGGCAGAAACAGCCCGCAATATCAATGCTGCGTTTGGAGAGGGGTCTACTAATGAACGCACCGTGCGATTTTGGTTTAAAAGCTTTCGTCATGGAAATTTCGACTTAAAGAACGAGTCACGAGGAAGATCGCCCACACAGGTGAATAACGATGAATTAAGAGAGATAGTGGAAGCCGATCCTAGTCAAACTACCCTGGAATTAGCGGCATGGTTTAACGTTACCTTACCCACAATATTGACTCACTTGCGTCAAATCAATAAAATAAAAAAATACGAAAAATGGGTGCCTCATGATTTGACTGATCTGCAGAAAGAAACGCGTGTTGAAACTTGTGTTGCCTTGTTGAACCGGTACAGAAATGAAGGAATATTGGATCGAATTGTAACATGTGATGAAAAGTGGATTCCTTATGATAACCGGAAAAGAAAAATGCAATGGCTGACCCCAGGTCAAATGCCACAACAGTGTCCTAAAGCAAAACTTACCAATAAAAAGGTAATGGTAACTGTTTGGTGGTCTCAGCATGGTGTTATTCACTATAGTTTTCTCCGATCTGGTCAAGCAATAACGGCAGATGTCTATTGTGCCGAACTCCGAACCATGTTGACAAAATTAGCAGTAAAACAGCCCCGACTCATGAATCGATCTTCACCATTATTGCTCCACGACAACGCGAGACCTCACACAGCACGAGAAACCATTTTGACCCTTCAGGAACTGCAGTTAGAAACCATTCGTCATCCTCCGTATTCACCAGACCTTGCTCCAACGGACTACCATTTTTTTCGTGATTTGGACAATTATCTACGTGACACGAAGTTTTCTTCCCAGGAGGCAGTACAAAATGCTTTCACACAGTTTGTGCGGTCTAGATCGTCGGAGTTCTATCGCAAAGGCATTAATAACCTTCCCATTAGATGGCAGCAATGTATAGATAATAATGGCAACTATTTTGATTAAATAAATTTGTTAAAAATTTAAAAAATAAACAATTTAGATTTTCTGTACAAATCGGCAATTTCATACTTTAACCCCTATTATTAATAGAAAAATTTTAGTCTTTTTCCACTACTCCGGACCATACCATGAACGTGCTATGAATGTTACAAACACGGCCAAAAACAACTATGCCACGGTTTTAATCGATGACGGAACGGTCTACTGGGTGTTGTTTCGTAATAATTTATATAAAGAATATTTTTTTTTGCATATGCTGGGGGGATTTCCTTTCATTTTTATTCACCACACCCGAATCAAATGTCTGTCGTATTCGAAAGTGAACCGAAATTACGTCACACCCTGTACGATTAGTCGAACTTCTCAACCGACAAAGGCTACAAGCGTTATTCAGAACACAGTTATTGAATGAAAGTTACCGAACGTCCCATTGTTTACAAAGCAAGTATTAATATGGAAATCTCTTATTATTATAAATAAAGTCAGGATTTTGTTCAATTTTATTAATTTATTTTAATGCAAGACTAATTGCATTCCTATATGTTAGGCCATTAAAGTCTTTAAAGTGTATATAAAAGGATCTCAATTTTTCTTATAATCTATTTCACCGACAAACTCTGTAAATGCTGTTGGATAACGATATCGTATCCGAATCGAACGATTCGGTTAAAACATCGACGAGTTCTGAATCGGGGTCCTGGGGGTCTACTCTCGATCTCCGTCCGAAACAATTACTGTCAAATAAGTAATATTCGACAAAATTAAAAGACAAGTGTCAAGTATGAAGCTTCATTCGCATCACGCGTCTTTTCATTTGGTCAAGTATTGCTTATTTGGCAGTAATTGTTTCGGACAGATTTCGGAAGGAGATCGAGAGTAGACCCCCAGATACGGTTACGGTCATAGTATGGAGCAGTGGGCAGAGTCCTTTATTATGAAATTAATTCATAGAAGGGTATACATTTTGAAATTGTGTTAACCCGGCAACACTCGCTACTGGGTAAAAAATACCACAGAGTATTTATGTGCGATGATTATTACTTTTCTGAGCGCCCTGGCGACACGGGGCTCTAGGTACCTTCTAACCAATAGTAAATGCATATGCACACTGCGAGACAACCAGTTTGCACGCGGCCTTTGGAGACGATATACGAATAAAGTGCGTATGGGTAAAAAATACCCGGTAGCGACGGTACTTGTTATATTATTTTTCAGTTTACTTATTATTATTTTCGTCAATTTTTACGACGACCAAGGTCAGAGAAGATTATAGCACCCTTTTCGGGTTTCAATAACACTGTATACGATGACATCATATGTCCCAAAGAAGAATAAGTGGTTCTCTTAACATCAACTACGCACCGTGATGGCAAAAAATATTCTGGAGAAGAAATAAAGCCAGAAATGATAATAGACTATAACAGAACCAAGTGTGGTGTCGATGTTGTGGATGAGCTTTGTGCTACCTACTCAGTGGCACGGACAACTAGTAGAGGGTCATTAGTACTCTTTTATGGACTTCTGAAGATCGCGGAATCAATGCACAAATACGTTATAGTGAAGGTGAAAAGAGAAAATAAAGGAGCTGTGATGGCTAAGGGGAGGATCGCCTTGAATGATTTAGCTTTGAGTCTTGAGATGCCACAGATACAGATGATTTATTATATATTAGATATATATTAGATAGGCATTAGTACCTAATTTATCATCATCTATAAAAACAATAACCAAGTTTATGCTCAACGACGACTTGAATATTGAAAAGACGTCGGCTAGTATATCTCGATCTCGCCCACCTGTTTCTGCTTCTCGCTGCGCCGTATGTGAATGGAAAAAAGACTGGAAGACGAAGACAGGCTGTGAATTGTGCTTCGAAAAGATACACTGAAAGCATACGATCCCAATTTGTGGCGATTGCTACGATTGAGTAAAATAGACTAATTTGGACCAACGAGCTTGGAACATATTGCTTCATGTCGATTTTATCAATGTTCGCGTATTATAAAAATACTGATATTTCGTTATTTTGATAGTATATTAAGTCTATTTTTGATATTGATCTCAATTTTGCATTTTCCTAAAAATAAAAAATATGTTTGTTGATTCTTATAGCAGTACACACATTTTTTTTTTCAATTTTTAGTACTTTTCTGCGATAATCTACAATTTTTGTAACTACTCATTACAAGTTGTATTTTGTAATTTTATTTATTAAGAATAACATCATTGAAACTACTACATCTTTACGGATTGATAAATCAATTTTCTATTCTTGGATAATGCCCTTTTAAGTTATGTGGTATTTTTTACCCGGTAGCGAGTAATCGTGTCTGTAAACACCTAGCGAGTGCAGGCGAGTTAAAAGTTGTTGCATTTGAGTATTTGAATCGATACGTGCTCTAGAAGTGCAATGCTCTATAACCAATAGTATATTAAAAAAAACCGTTACTGTAGCTTGAGGCTCAACTTACATCGCCGCGGAACGGAATGGAAGCGAATCATTGTAACCATAGCATAATGAGCTCTATGTCAATTGTGTAACGTACAAACTAGATGCGAGCCAAAAAAACAGGTCGCGCGATTTAAGAAAATTCTCGCTGCGTCTCGGGTATTAAATAATAATCAAAGTTCATAATGCTGTGTGCAATTTCGTTACAAAAATTTGCTTCCATTCCGGTCCGCAGCAAAGTAGATTAAAAAGAATAAATGTTGCTCCAGAACATAATTTGTTGTACCTAAGTAACGTTTGTTTGGGTGATAGGAAAGTCGTCCCTGCATATAGGCAGAGCACCATAGGGCACCCGTGTCTACTATAGCGCTTATTTCGTGTCTTCCAATCAAGATTAATTGGAGGTTCGTGCTAAGCGCCTATCGCACTTGAAACCAAATATTGTCGTAACTCGAAAATTGGTAGAATTAAAGAAACACGATTTCAATTTCTCCCTGATGACGCTACGGCAAAAAAATCGTTAAAAACCAAAAACGAAGATGTGCAAGAAGCACAGAAAAATTTGTAAGGTCTGCTGGTTCATTCCGTGGCTTAATTTGCAGAGCATCTGGAACGGATTGCCCGAAGGTGCTGGTTCGAATCCAACCAGATCAAATTAATTTTTCAAAGTGTTCGATTTTTGTTATTAATACTTATAATAAACTAGTGGAGTAATTTCATAAATAAATAATTTAATATCATCGTAGTAAAACATCGTGACATTCAATAAACTTAAAAATCACGATTCAAAAATTAAACAAAAATGGATTATTTTTATACAAATAGAAAATATTTAGTTATCCATTTATAAACGAGAATATAAATTTTATTTGTTTCATTCAGTTGTTTTTGAACTTTCAAATCGTGTTTTCTCAATTTCACAATTTTGACAGTATTCGATTTCTTGTGCGATATTATTATACGTAAAATAGAATCGTTTATTTCATGTTTTGTCTTTTATTTTTAATAGGCCTTAAACGTATGTTAAATCCTTAAAGTAAATATGCTTCTATGATTTATGTTATGACACAAGGCATTTTCGATTAATACCTACTACTAAGTTTGAGAATAAAGTACTTAATCAAATCAATGTGATCTGTGTTGCCTGAACCTTGGACATTGCAAAGTACGACAGAGTAATAAGGAACCTGAAAGTGCGTGACGAAAAGACGTCAGTGAAAGGAACCGGCGTGCATGCATTGCGAAATCTGCTACAATGTCTCACCTTGATAACGACGCATGAGCAACCGACGATCTTCCTGGCTTTGCCGTCCTTGTCAATCTTGCATAAACCCGCCCATTCGCCCAACTTCTTGTTGTTGTCCACCTGATACAAATGCATAAACATTTAATCTATCTACTCTACTATTCTGCTTCCGCAACATTTATAACAGAACTTTAATCGGAAGTTTACGTTTGCGACAGATCAGACGCTTTTTTAGTGGAGAGCGCGTTTTTTAGTAGTTTTGTTGCACGTAAATTACGAAACCAAAAACAAGTCCTGTTGGGAACCATATTGTTGGGTTCTTTATAGTATTTACACTTGCGCATCTGCTTCTGCTAAGATTTACTTTTGACATATGTTTCCATTGTGACACTTCCGTTGCATGTAGATTTTATCACAATGTTTTTAATCATGTAGTGTGCTACTAAACACTCACAAACATACATAACTTAGAAATTAAAGCAATAAACACTTATTGTAGTTTTTACCATGATTTTTAATATCTGTTATTGTAGACGTTTTTTAAATTGAAATGTGTGGGTGCTAGGAAAGTTGGCTCAGCATGGTGCGAGCCACCATAGGGGCACACGGTTTGATATGCGCTCCTTTGGCCTATGTTGCCATGGGACAGCAAGGCTCGTGCGGAGCGACAATAAATGTTGTAATGAAAACTTCATTCCTGCATGCTGCAATCTATACTTTAAAGTGAACAGGGACCTTACCATGAACTCTTATTACAGTTCAGTATAAGTTCGTAATGACAAAAAAGCGGGATGGTGATATACACTTAATGTAGCGCTGTCTCACAACTATTCATTTTAGGTCCTAAACTGAATTGTAATAAGAGTTCATGGTAAGGCCCCAAAGATTGATAGTTGCCCATTTTGACACAGCACATACATTATATTCTTCTATAACATAGCAATGGAGAGGTACTGTATTAAGTCCAAGCTTCCATGTCATTTGAATTTTGCAGTAACAGGCAAACATTATTATTACTGAGAAACTTTTTAATCTAAGTATTTAAAGTCTCTTCAAATGTTGTTCTTATATCTAAACAGTCAAGTTAAACATTTGAATGATTAGTTAAAATTAATTATATAAGAGATAATCCGCTGGCTCAGTACTAAAAGTCACCTTGACAAGTGGGATCTGGTGTTCGTTGCAGAGTGCTTGTACCAGCTTTTTATACGCTGCCTCATCGCAGTTCTCCGCCAGCACGCATAAAACAGCTTGCCTCCTATAATTTAAATGTGCAATTATTTTCTATAACATAAAAAACCCACACAGTGACAAATGAAAATGTATTAATATATAAATTTGTTATATATGTATAAATGTATAAATTTGTTAAGTCTCAAAATTGCAACACATTATTCAGAGACAGCCGTGCATATGGGACCAGTAAGGAGCCTGAAACGTTAGTTTGTTTAAAAATACAGTATAAGCGATTTAGATCTGAGAAATTTGTTTCATTACTAGTAATAACTTTGGTCAAACAATGACTATTTAAAACTGCACTTTATGAGTTTATTATCAAAAAGTTAGTGTGGACATAATTAGATCGAACTCTGGGAGTGAAACATAAAATTACAATAAATAAAATACCACTTCTTTGATATTTTGGACTCTAAAGTTTAACAAATCCCGTCCAATATTATCTGCCAACTAATTTCTATGAATTTCAACAGGAGAGCAGTTGTTAGATTCTGCTTTTTTTTAATGATACTAAATTAGGAACAAGCAAGTTGTGCACCAGGTGGTAAAAAAAAGGTGGTAAGGGTTAAACCTGTTCATATATGTTGCAAAGTTTTAAACCTGCAAAGATCTGAGGGGCAGTGCCTCTGCGCCCATCACCCTAAGACAAAAGTTAACAAGTCCCACATGCCTGTAATTTTACCAGCACCCTTACCATTACTGCTTGACAGCAGAAATAGGTAAGGCAGTACTTCGAAAATATAGTATATAGAAAATGTAACAATAGAATAGTGGCTAAATGCAAAAACATTCTTAAACTGTAGCACATGTGGGAGGCCACAGTTCTGACAACAGCTACTGAGGTACTATGTATGTGCAGCAATATTGGCCATAGAGTAAATCCATCTCGATGTTCATCAAGGCAGATATTTCCATACAACTTTGGACTAGAACAGCCCAATGCTGCATGAATATTTGGGAGGACTCTTTGACCTTTACAGCAAAACCGAGTTTACAAGCATCAAGAACAGTACATTAGTCTTACTTGTCCAAAGACTTAGCAGCTTCATGGAGTCCGTGCACAAGTCCACCATGGATGAGAGCAGTCTTCAGGACCTCCTGCAGGGCTGTGTTCACATCCATCGCCGCCCCGCTGAGCACGGGGTTGACCGGAACCTCACTACAAACAAAAGTGTCAAATGAGCTTACGACTAAGACCCTAAAACGGTGAAAAAAATACAATAATGGTTTTAGGATGCTGTTGGGACTGTAACGCGTTTGCAGAGCATGAGGTACTACATAGTTATCATAGTTAATGCGATAATACGCAAGAGAACTGCCTCCCTGATGCGACATGTGTGTGACAGTTTCAAAAGCCTCATGCATAGGAGTATCAGATGTGTGATCCACTTAACCACTGCAACTGCACACCCATGGGTATCAGAGGCTTTGTGGATAACCTAACTATACATAGACAACCATAACTTACACCCAAATTCATGAGATAAATAAATGTAGGCCATACAAATATTTCTCCCGGCATGGGAATCGAACCTGGGAGCTTTGCGTGGCAATCCAGCTTGGTAACCATCGCCATGGAGGCAGTTTTAAGTAAAATTGTAATATAAAAATATTTCTAACTCAGCTTGCACCATGGCACCCGCGAGGGTTTCCCTAGTGCAGGGCTATGTTGAGTGTGTGCGTTATTAACCATTTTCAAAAAGTTAATTATAATTTTACAATAAGAGACCAGGTAATGCTTCATAACGATTTGCTCACATTTACTTAATTACCTAAGCCTTTATTAATGACCTTTGATAAAGACTTCTATGTGTTCTGCAGGTCACGTACATATTTTTTTTAACACACAACATAAACACGGCATAAATTTCAAATTAATAGTTCATCTCAAAATTTGTTAATCAACGCAGCCTAGGCTAAATAGCTTGATAACTCACTAACTTAATTTAAAACTATAAAATTTAAAATAAAATTATGATTTTACCGCTCACGGCTCGGCTTATAATATCCTACGTAACATCAGCAAAGCTTTAATTTTGTAAACAGTACATGGAATCGTACAATTTACAAAAATATTCGATGTCATTATTACTGAACAAAAGATTGTGATTAAAAGGTACCAAAGTTGTAGATTACTAACCTAAAAAGAACTCCATTTAAAGGTTATGTTGACTGCATGTTTTTTGAAGAAATTAGTAAAAAACTACAAAAAATTGGTAAATTAGAGCGTAAATTAAAACAATGGGATAGATATGACAAAAATTGTAACAAATAGACACGAAAATATTTTAAGTAAGAAGCCACTTACACATCAACATCGGCCATGGTTTATTTCTACCTGTCGATCTGAAATGCGAAATAAAACACATTGAGTAACACTTTAGCTTTTTGTTACTTATTTCACATTCACTGAATCTTGAAAGATCGTGAAAATAATCCAAGATTCTGAAAAATATAGCACAGTACGTTTGACACTTTACCTTGTGCACCGAAAAAGACTAGAGCTTAATGATGGCGACTTTTTGTTGTCGATTGACAAGCAATAGGTAAGCGATTAAAAATCAATACAGCAAAATTATCTGTTAGATGACTTTTTAACGCCTGCTTGTTTTGTTACTTATTTATAATTTATTTTGTTCCATAATAATGTACTTTTTGTCTGTGTCGATATTTATCAGGAAGATTTTATCGAATGTGAGCAACTCCATAACAAAATAGCGTTCTCTCCATTTTACGCAGTACAATATTACGATATTAGCATTAATCGAGCTAAGTTTGTATTTAAAAATTATAAAGAGATCAGCAAAATTATTAAAGACTGGGCGTTTGCCTCAAGTTAAATTCATTTTGATCAATTGACCTAATTTTTTTATCTATCTTTCTCAATTTCGCAAATTAATTTATAGCTGGCAGGTTTTTAGCATACTTTCATAAAAGTTTAAAACAAAAGATAACCAATGTCATTTTGATTTTGTAACAGATCTTTACTTTTGTAAAATTCGTTTGAAAATATTGTAGTGTGACAAAATCGTAGTGTTTTAGTATCTTGTACAAACAGTGTAGTGTAGTTTTTAAAGAAATTATTTACTATTTATAAAATGTGTTATCAGTTAAGTTTTCGCGCATTATCATTATTTGAATGATGACGCGAAACCCAGATATTTTGTTTATGACAGAATATATAAAAAATGTGCTATATTTCGCTACAGTAAGGCAAGGAAAAGCCCTAAAAAGCACAGCAGAAGCACACTACTTTTGTATAGATAACGAATTAGTGTACGAAAATTACTATTCAGACTTCGGTCCTTTAAATCTCGGTTGTGTGTACATGTATTGTAAACTGTTAAATGAAAAATTGAAACAGTTTTTAAATAAGCTAAGTATTGTACACTACACGTCTGTTGATCCCAAGAAGAAAGCAAATGCTGCTTTTCTTTTAGGGTGTTACGGAGTTTTGTATCTGAGACTAACGCCAAAGGATGCTTTAAAACCTCTTACGATTCATGGGCAAAGTTACCGGTAAGTGTAGCAAATTACACTGTAACGTTTATGACATGTAAACTGCGTATTACGCGCAATAACCAGTTAAAAGTTATTGAAAACGAAACTATTTTTATTTATTTGAATTACACTATATTTGTTTTCTTTCAAACAAACCTACGTTTCAGGCTCTTTAAAGGTCTCTTGGTAACGGCAGACGGTAACGTAGTAATAAATTACATCCTCAAAATTTAACTTCGTATTATTTTTTGAAAATCTTAGGTAGGTACCTACTAATGACACTGAACCTACAAAAATAATATAACTGGCAGCAAGTATGTACATCAATCGCATTTAAACCGGTTATTTGCCGTAACAGTTGCTGAAGTAGGTGGATCTAGCTTCACAAAGTTCAAAAATAATCCTAATTACAACCCTAAAATATTTTGCAGGCATTTCCAAGACGCAACGCAAGATGATTCAGTTTACACAATATCATTGTTAGACTGTTTGCAAGCTATCAAGAAGGCGAAGGAGTTGGGATTCTTCAACTTCCAAGACTTTAATTATGAAGAATATAAAAGATTAGACAAAATACAAGGTGGCGATTTAAATTGGATCTTACCTGGTAAAATAAACTTAATGTACCTAATTACATTTCTTTACAATTAATTAAATTTGACTTAATTATATGTCTTAACTGTTCTTAACAGAAAAAAGTATTAAATATGCCAAGTAAACATGAGTTAATTTACGTATTTCAGGAAAGTTTCTTGCTTTTATTGGTCCTGTGGACTACAGCGTGTCTTTATATCACCCACCTGAAATGTACATAGATTATTTTAAAGAAAATAATGTTAAAGTAGTTATTAGGCTAAATAAGAGAATGTATGATGGAAACGTGTAAGTAAACTATTTATTACATTTATATCGTGTCTTTAGGCACTCATACATGTTTATTTTCTTGTCAGTGTGCATTGTCGAAGTCTGTGTAAGCCCTCATGTTCACAGTTCAACTTTTCTAATAAGCCTTTTCGAGTGTGGAGATGTATTTATGAGTTTGAGACTTACATATGCCCTTTACTTACTTACGAATATAACCTTATGAATATTCTATACGTGATTTACGAAATTTTAAACGCATTTCATATTGTAAACACAACAAAATTTTGTCAGATTCAACAACGCTAATATACTGCATTATGATCTATTTTTCCCTGACGGTTCATGTCCACCAAGACATATTCTATTGAAATTTCTTCAAATAAGTGAAGAAGTGGATGGAGCTGTAGCTGTTCATTGCAAGGTTACGAATCTATTTATTTTAGTATTATAGAGTACCTACATTTAAAAAAAAAGTAGAATTTACTTTTTAGAACACTCCATCAATTTAAAGCAGGCATTGTATAAGAAACTTATAATTTCACTGTTACTGATGAAATAATTGTTTAGGCAGGTCTAGGGCGAACTGGGTCACTGATTGGCAGTTATTTGATCAAGCATTATCACATGACAGCTCGTGAAGCAATTGGTTGGATGAGAATATGCCGCCCAGGCTCTGTTATTGGACATCAACAGGTATATATATTTTCGGGTATGTTAGAGTAACTATTTTCCTGAGTTGCACCACGATGTGGCGCTATATTATTTGCCGAATATTTTTAATCGGTTTCATGCTTTATCTATACGTACTACTGTTGAATAGTTAATTGACTTACAATTTATAAACCTTCTCAAAATTGTTTGTAAGTTTTTGTTTTTGGCAGGCATGGTTGGAACAACTGGAACCTTGGCTGACAAAACAAGGGAATCTATATAGGTAAACAGGTGAAGAATTAGTTAGTATAAAGGATAATGTATTTTATTATAAATGTATGATATTATTTGAATCCGCAAGTAAAGTACAAAAAGAAAAACGCAGACATATATTTAGATATGGCGCTGCAAGTACAGCAATTTGTATGAAAACCAAGCTTGCCACATTTTTGTACCCACAATGACGCCACTAGAACTATTTAGTGATGGAAACATTCCGTTCGCTCTAAATCGACTGATTAAACGGAATACGCGTAAACACGCGTATTCCATTCAATTATTCGATTTTAAATAGAATAATTTTTGTTCAACTATTTGTTGATTACAAGTAGTCGTAATGTTAATATAGTAGAAAAATACTAGCATAAGGTAAGATAAGTCCTTTATTTTTCTTGTTTTTAAAAAATGTTGATATTTGTTAAAAATTAGGAATTTAAATTTTTAATCGACTTCAAATATTAAAATTATTGTCTTCCAATAAAATGAGCTTATTATATAACATCTTTTTGTAATAGAAGATCTTATCGATTAACTTAAATAATGAAAACGCACGTCAATATATGAACTTGCGACTGCCTTAAGTAATTTTAATGCCTTGATTGGTTTTCTGTTGGTAATTGATCAAATTGATAAGTGGCAAGACAAATGAAAATGTTACTGCTGAGAAAATATAGTCAAATCTTGTTAATTAGAAGTGGTTTACTTAATGACGGCCTCGTGTAAAATTTTTGTGATTTGTTTAGTATTTCTCAGACTCTGGTACTTTGCATATTTGGATAGCATCTTAGGTGGGATACACTACACCGTCTTCGTCCTCGAAAGTAACGAACTCATACGTATGACCTACTCCATGTTTTTGTAAAGACAGCCCACTGTTAATTCTTTGCATTATATATTTTTGTATTACACGTAATACATATCCGGGGATGTATGTATTTAATTGCTCACTACATTCGGACTTTCGAGACAACGTGCTGCAAAAATTATCGAAATTACAGCTACTACTAATAATAGATACTACGAAACTAAAAAAAAAACAAAACGTTAGTAAACGTTATAACAAAAGAGTTATAGAATATATTTATAATATTGCTAAGGTCATAATAATATTCGTCTCTTTGTTTTCAAAATCGATCAGAATCGAGAACAGTGTTGCCTTTTTTTTTTTTCTTTTTTTTTTTTTTTGACGGTGGGAAATCTTTATGGATACCCCTGAGCCCAAGGAGACTCAGGGGTTACGTGGGGACTCTCCCTCCAGACTGGAGGGCCTACCCCACTAAAACCCCCCCGGGTTTCCCTCTCGCCGGTTGAGTCGGCGCCGTGGGATCAGTGAACATTCACCACGACGCCGCCCGGCAGAACAGTGTTGCCTAACGTATACATCACTAAATGTTAAATTTGACCAAAGAAATGTACAAGCGGCGGTACCACGAAACTGAATGCATTATACAAAAGTGATCCTGGATCACAAATATATCGCACCAAGTAAAAGCCGCAATGTATTACAAATCATGAGGCATACACTCGATTGCATATTTGTTTTTTTTCGAAATTCATACAAAACCAAAATAATTATTTTTAAAATAAATTATGCATCTTCTGATTACAAAATCACTTGGCCGTGAAAGGAAACGTCCCTGTTTACCCATTTACCTACACAGTTATAGTGCTTTTACAGTTTATAAATGGCACACTTATGCATTTTTCACTTATGCATTTCTATAACGGTCGAGCGCGTTCTGAAGTGTAGCAGCGGCAACTAAGTGAATTTCACTTACTTTGGGCATGCGAAGTACGTACACTTGCGACATCTATCTAGATATATGTCTGTGGAATGAAATATGAAGATCAGGGCCGCACCGACCCTCAGCAGCGTCTGTGTGTAAAACCTATGAACCAACTATTTTTTGTTCTTTTCGCCGACTTATTAAGAGTCGATACAAACTCAAATAGCGTTGGTTGATTCCGCATCACAGTAAAAGTGTTGAATCAATTACTTTGGAAAAAATATATAATAAAATTGAGGATATACAATGATTAGTACACGTGTGAAAACACGATTCCCAAAAATTTTCACGATCGAAAAAAACACAAACTTGCTCGATATTTTACAAGAAAACCGATGTATTTATTCATCATTCAACGTTCCAACAACAAAGGCCTCCAGTATTTTATCTAAAATATTGAATCAGAAAAACTCCCGGGTCCCGAACACTGTCAGATTTAAATATATATTTAGAAATTCAAAGAAGTGTGTGGGATGTATTAAAAATAATAATAATAATAATATATATATGAACACGCATTGCCTTCCGGGGCGATCCAGAATTTTTATTACATTTCTGATAATATGTAGTAAAATGTAAACTGTGACCTAGAAGATGTGTATAAATTTACTTTGGATTGTTAACTATTATTTGAACTAAGATACAGAAATTCCTTGTAATTTGAGTACCAGAGTAACGAAATCAATTCTGGGATACATCCCATAACACCCAGACCAGGACCAATTTAGAAGCTTGTTTCCCATATTGGCCCTACCGGAAATCTACAACCCTACCGGGAATCGATTTGCAAAGTCCTTAATGCCCTGGCGTATGTGTACATCGCATAAGAGTCGGTGCGGACCTGAGTGTTATGGATCTAATGCTTGGATATCATAAGGCTAGTTTTAGAAGCCAGGATAGTAAAATCGTACTAGTACATATTATAGTAAAATCCTGACATGCTGGCTTGCTTGCTAGTATAATTTGTACTATGCTCACTTGAGAATGTAGCTTCGTGTGTCTCCTGAGCACAAGTAACTTTTATAAAGTGTGTGACAGGAAACGCACGTTTCAAGATATCGAAAAGTTTCCAATACACGAGTTTGGTGTATATTCTGTAACGGAAAAGATGATAAAGCAGCAGCGCCCAATAATACTTTCCCAATCACCAACGCCATTTCCACTAGTTCAGAGGCCAATTATTTCTGATACTGCTCCTCAAGTGAGACCTCAAGCTTCAAAACTGAGAGAGGGTAAGTAACCACTAACCTTGATTTTACATGAAGGTCACTTAGAAAGACAAAATTCTTCACATTGATTTCCAGTGGGTCGTGCATTTTGATGTTTATTATTCAAACAAAATAAATAAAATTTTTAGTGTTATTCAAATATGTATGTGATCAATATGAAAAAGTATAAGAATACACGAGCCAGTAGCCCTTTATGGAAGTGGCCTTCAAAATCAAAAGGTTTTAATAAAATAAACGAATAAACGTTCCAAACAGTGTTATTTCATGTCGAGAGCTAGTCAATTGATGAAATTTCAATATTGTCGACTTTTCTATGACTAGCTAAACTTATATCGATTTAAAGTAGCACTGTTTGTGCTTCAGTTGTTCTTAACTATAAGCAATTCACCGCCAATTGTCACTATACCTAAATCTGTAAAAAAAATTTCGGTTTCACTCTAAAACAGTGTTATTTTAAATCGATGAACGAGAAAGCAAGTGACTACTGTGTTGGTCACTAAAAACATGTTTTCTTCAAACAGAGGTGGAGGTGGAGGAAGAAGAAAAATTTTTAACGTCCTGTGATTTGTCCGTCAATCCTTCCGCGAAGGTGACTCTTGTGAAAGGCTGTCTTATTAGAAATAACATTTTCGAGGATAATCTTGAAAGCGAATCTTCCACTCAGGTTGAAAATATTTCTCTTTGGAGGAAGATTATTTTGTGTCAACCTTGTATTACAAGTATTCGTCATTGCAATGATGGTATGTGGAACTTGGCGGTGTGTTGTTCCGGAATTGCTCCTGAAAGATGTAATTCCAGTATGTGTTGTAATTTGTTGGACAGGGTTAGTATTGCTTTTATTTACGAGCAGCTTTTTGATAGGTGCCTACCTTTTTACTGTTCTGAGGTAATTAATGTAAAAATACTCTCTAAAATGCTTTCTTTTTTTCTGGTTGTAGAGTTGTTACCGGAGAGAATAAAGATACTAAATACCATTACATATTACACCAACTCGCATGTTGTGGGTATTTGAAAGTATACATATACGGAAAATACTTATAACAATTGAAAATGTGTTGCTTCCAATCAATTGATCCCATTTCCGAAAATTAAAACGTTTTGCTGAACAAATTTTCCCAATAGTCTGGTTTGAAATAAATACGTAGGTAGGTACTACTAAGCATCGACTTGGTTTCTTCATTATCTTTATCTGTTTTGGATAGCTCCTAGTAAGACAACCGAAAGGGATCAACGTGACTTCAGAGTGAGATCATCCAAATTGAACCCGAGTCACGTCCTTCTAAATAGTAAAAGGTAAGTGTTGAGTAAAGATTAATAAATTACATTATCTTTTTTTCTTATTTTCTATCATATTTCTTATTTGCGTTTTACTATAGGGATGTTGCAGATGCAACTGGCGGACCGGTGCGACGGACTAATGGCACCGGAGAACCACGCCATACCCTACTGAACGCTACACCACTGCATTCAGCTTCTCGCAGTGGTTCTAGTAGATCAGCACGTTCACAGTCGTCACGCCAAACTGCGAATGTAAGTAATTGTGATTACAGATAAACTAATAATTTAAGGAACGAATGTACTTGATGGATAACTGTTTCTTTCATTGTTTTAGGATTCGGATCCGAAGCCCTTCACAACAATGTATCCTCCAATACCTTCATACAGTACAACACAAAATCCAGCAATAAAATCTTTGAGTGACGCCAGAGTATGAAATTATGACATGTAAATAAAATTAAGTTAAATTAATAATTTATCTAAAATAAATATTATTTTTACTTTATGTTCCAGAAATTCCTTTTGATGAACAGTACGTTTAAATCGGATAAGGTTAACGCATATAATAATCAGGACAAGCCTAAGAAATCTATCGGATCTATAGCAACGCCACCTTGTAGAAGTGCCAATATCGCGGTGGAACAGACTAGTCTTGGAAATCGTGTATCTAATATGAACATATGTATGGCACTAGTTGTTTGGTTTGATAAATTTAGAGATTTTTCAGAACGCATTATCCAATGAAAAAAGCGAGTCAGTCATTCAGTATTTACTATTATTAATATTGTTACTTGGAGTCGTATTCCAGAACTCTACTCAATGCTTAAGTTAGGACTTGAGTATGTTTTCAAGCACTAGAAATCATAATCAAGTCCTGACTTAAGCATTATAGAGTTCTGGAATACGACCCTTAGTGTAGTGACGAGCAAGATGCACTTAAGTTTTCGTATACTGTGTCACTTACGACAAGAACACTTGAAAATGTTGACGGTGCTACAATAAAATATCAATTGACAATTATTTAATATAAATAATCTTACAGTACCGCGAGATCTATTATTCAACCAACAAAGGCGGCGTCTTGGCCGTAGTCCGAGTCCAAGTCCACTTGGGTCGCCTATACGTGTAATAGACCGTAGTCGCGCAACAAACACTACTACGGTTGAAAAGTACAATCATATGGGTCATGATTCCAAAGCTACGATTAAACACGATTTTTCGAAGTTATGTGAGTACTTTATTATTTTCAATATTCGTGTTTCATGTAAAATTATTATTTTGTTTGTTAGTTATATGTTGCGGCATAACGTCATCCGCCTACCAGTGTTACCACCTTGTCCAGGGAGGAAATAGCTAAACCTAAATATAAAAGTTGCTAGATTCTGCTAAGAAATAAAATTTTGATAAAAGTAGTCAAAAGTGGCTAAACAAAAACTGTATGAAATTGCTACTTACTACTACTACTTTACTAATTAAAAATCCAAAAGAATATCATCATTATCATCTTGTGAGGTTGAAGGTCCAGCTTTATTTTCGATATTTTATTCTAGTTGTTTTGTTTTTCCTATTAGTTCTAAGATGTTATGTGGGATTAAGTATATCGCACATGTCTCATCTCTGACCCTTAACATTTAATTTAAGGTGACCAGCTCACTCTATTTTTATGTTTATTTTTAATAATGCTCATGACAGAAAAGCCTCTCCACTTCAGCGTTAGAATGAGGCAAGATTAAACCTGTCATTGCCAAAACTCGCAACAAGATTAATTTGTTAAATTTTTAATGGCTATTCATTTCACTATTCCAAGTTCTGCATTGTTCCTGCCCACAATGTTAGGCAGAAATGGGTTAAAACCCGACGCTTTGAGTAAATATCCAATTAAAACCCGGGCGAGTTGATTGGGTTTCTGGTACAGAGTCGTTCTGTTTCCGCGACAAATTATTTTTACAGGCAACTTATTTTAAATTTAGAATAAAATTGTCAAAAGTAAGTCCTTCCTGTCAAATTAAATAACATAACCTAAATGTAGACATATGAGATGACTGGAAATGGTGCAATTAAAAGAAATCAGTGTTGTTTGCGTATAAAGCGATGTTTTGTGTTTTATTAAACACTACCAGAGTTACTAAAAGCAATTTGAAATGGGTGCCTTAGTAACAAAAGCATTACGACCTTTTAAGTCATTCAATATAGAAAACCGGGCCCATCGCGTGATATCCAAGGAAAAGCCGACACCTGCGCCCAGATATCAGCAGGCTATTGATGATATGAGACGTGCTATGGACAAAGATCCAAAACTTAACGAGAAATTAAACACGAAAGATGCAGAACTCGACAAAATGCTAAAGGATGTTTATGTAACTTCTGAAGGGAAACCCGAAGAAGATATTACTAGAGAAATTCAGCAGAAGAACCCTAACCGACCATTGCCCATGTACCGAATGCAGCCAGAAGACTATGAATATGGCTTTAAAGAGCCTGACCAAATATCCTATGGACGTGTAACACTACGTAAGGCATTAGAATTTTTAGCTGCGCATCAGAGTAACCCGAACGAAGTTACTCCCGAGAAAATAGCCCAAGAGTACAAATTAAAATTAGATGATGTTAATAATGTAATAAAATATTTTAAGACATTTGAAATTTTTGTTCCCGAGACCAAAACGGCACCAGCTACTTTTGCTGGACCTGCTTCTCTGAGAAAGCAAATGGAAAGAGCATTTGAAATGAAACAGATTGAGGACAAAAAGAAATTAGAACCTAAAGACCCTCTAGATGAATTTGAAAAGTTAACACCAAAACACAGAATAAAGAATGATGAAAGATAAAAGATTACTTATTTTGAGCTGTTAATTTTTACCTTAGAGTTCAAATTACGTAAATATAGGTGTCGATTTGGTTGTACATATTTTGCAATCTAGACTCATTACTGGAGACCAGATTATTTACTTACTACTTCAAGTAATATATGAGAAGTTTCAGAACAATGACTGTAGTTGTCTGATAAGTGTCACAAACAATTGTATGTGGCCACACAATGGGTTAATATTTTGCTGACAGGTCTACCTCATGCTGTACAGTGTAACCCAAAGAAATAGCACTTATGTAAGTTAGCACTATGATATTTTCATTGTAGAGAATTGTCAATAGTGCAATACTGCTTAAACGACTGTACACATATCGCACCTTTCATGGAAGAATGGCATAAGTGGAGTTCCATCAAAAACGTTTATTTCTTCACTATTTTCTTTTATCTATTTTTGAAGCCTGAAATGTTTGGGCGTTTATGTTGGCCTCATTATGTATGTGTATATATAAAATAAATAACTATCTTACTATCTGTCACTACTCCCATGAGAGGTATTGCTTCTCATTAGAAAGCAAGAATCACGTAGGAGTATAGTGCTTCAGCACTTTGTGTCAACACTTTGCTCAGCATTAAATGTAGCTCTCCTACCTGACCAATGTTTTTTAATTGATATTGAGCTCGACAATTCATATATCGATCACATTCAATCGACTCATCCGAAGAACAGAGTCTGATATGATTATAAAGCAAAAAGAGAGTAAGCATGTACATTACGAGAATCATTTCATTAGTCAAACTAAGGCCCATGTATTAGGTGTTTTGAGAATTTATATATCTTATTTCGTTTCGGACATATTAAATCAAAGAATGGTTGATCTGACATCCACAGCAAAGAAGAACATACAAAATGTACTATGTCCTGAGAACAAGTAGTCTTGCACATAGATTTTTGTTCTATGGATGAGTTGAAATGAAGCATGTCTTCCAACTTGTTTCAGAATTGGCATTGAGGGGATTCTGCCCTTCTCATGAGATAAAAATTCATTTAATGGAATGTGATCAGAATGCGGTCTAAGAGCAATTACTAACAGTGACTTTGATACTTTTGATGTTACATTTCCTTGAACCAGGTATTTCTTGGAGGACGCAATTGGATAGTTTTGTACCATATGTACCCCTTATCACAGATATCTCATCACTGCTCTTAGCCCATTGATCCACATATTGCTCCATTAGATACAGAAAAATATAACCCACATCCTCTCCCATTCTTGCAACTTTATCGACTAATATTGTAGGTAGAGTTAAGAGAATTGGAGAGGATGTGGGTTATATTTTTTGTATCTAATGGAGCTATAAACATGTTTGGCATAACTCCACTTATGCCATTATTCTATGAGAGGTGTGTATATTTACAGCTATTTGTTTAGTTTTATTTCCAAAATATGTCTAATAAAATTTATACTTTATGAAGAAGTAGTTAGAAAATTTAATTTAGACTTTGAAGAAGAATTTTTATCAATAAACCTCTACGAATTTTTGTTAGTGCTTGCTCACTCGAATTGTACATATGTACAATGTAAACTGTACATATGAGTAATGTGCAATAATGTAACAATATTGTTATATGATAAGTAGTGCAAATGTTAATGAAACATTCAATAACATTTGATAATAGGTGACAGGAAATAGTACTGTGACTTGGTACTTGACATAGCGGCATCCATAATGTTTATATTTTACTAGCTGGTGCCATGGACGCTGGTGGTGGTATGTTTACCCTGGTTGGTCAAATGAGCTATTTCTAATTTCAGCTATTGAACAATGAAAACATGTAACACATTGTGAGCTTGTAGTAATTAGTAGAACTATAATAAAATGTTTTGTTGATAAAATTTTTGTTTTACACGGGCCTCTTATTTTTCTATTGATCCTGAGGTAAGTACTGTTAAACAGGATGCTTATAAATTATATTTGACATTTTTAAATGCAAATTAGCCCGCCTATGCAACGAGAGACGCATTGGCGTCCTCGTTCCGGTTGTAAGGTCTTTTACATTTTACTAAACAAACATTATTAAACACAACCGACCACAAGCAAACGATTGCTTATTGGTTTTTTATTGGAATTATATCTAATTGCCAAGTTTTATTGAAATCGATCAACGAAAAGTGCGCGAAATTGGATTCATCCACTAGTTTGTCATCCCTAGAGGTGGAATATTTCCGGTTGTTGGTAGGTTGGAATGTTATTTATCCTGTCAAATTTCATTGGGACAAAAGCTGGGGTACCTTTCCAACAAAAAAAGAATCATCAACTCATAGCATACACAAAAAAATTTAGTCGAATTGATAACCTCCTTTTTTAAATCTGATTAAAAATTAGTATTTATCCAACACCTTCACAGTTTTCAACTCCGTTAACTCGCATCTCAACAGCGAGAGATAAATACAAAGTTTACTCGGGTCGTATTCCAAAACTCTACTCAATGCTCAAGTCAGGATTTGAGTAGACTTGAGATTTCAAGATGATGATTTCAAGCACTGGAAATACGACCCTAACGGCAAGGACTTGAGTATGATTTTCAGTGCTCACTGCAATACTCAAGTCCTGACTTGAGTATTGAGTAGAGTTCTGGAATACGACGAGTTAGGGTTGCACTGGAAACACAAGCACTGGAAATACGACCCTAATGGCAGGGACTTGAGTATGGTTTTGAGTGCTTTAAACCATACTAAGGGGAAGCTATAGTCCGTTTATTTCGCTCGCGCCGCGAATGACGACGCAGGCTCTTTCGAAGCAACACAACCGGTACTCGGTGTCCCCCAAGGTCCTGCGCCAGTGTGCGCCGCACACCCTTTTTTTTTTTTTTGACGGGGGGGAAATCTTTATGGATACCCCTGAGCCCAGGGAGACTCAGGGGTTATGTGGGGACTCTCCCTCCAGACTGGAGGGCCTACCTCACTAAAACCCCCCCGGGTTTCCCTCTCGCCGGTTGAGTCGGCGCCTTGGAATCGGTGAACATTCACCACGACGCCGCCCGGCCGCCCTAGCTTGCGCCAGGGCTCCCGCGCCAACGGAGGGGCGAGTCGGTTGTCCTCCGACCCGCCCCCCAGACGAGTGAGTTCGTGCAATGCAGGCTCCGGAGTCCCTGTCCAGAGCCCGCTGGCCTCACTAGGGGATCAGGCGAGCAGCGAACTGCCTTCGCCTTCTCCCCGTAGGTACGTCTGCGCCGAAGCGGGTGCGCGTCCGCCGCGTCCTCGCGCACCCGCTCCGCGGCCTCCTTTTGCGACATAACCTCTGCGCAAAAGGAAGCCACCGCCTCCCAGGACTCCTCGCTATCGAGCATGGCGGCAACCACGCTCGGCAGCGAGAGGTCCTGCCCTACAGTCCCCGTCAGAGTGCGGCGCTGCTCATCCCACCGGCTGCACACCTCTAGGGTGTGCTGCGCGGTATCATCCGCAGCGCCGCACTCGTGGCACGACGGGGACGGTTCCCTCCTCGCCACCTTGTGCAGGTAGTGACCGAAACACCCGTGTCCAGTCAGCACCTGCACAAGGTGGTACGACAGTGGCCCGTGGGACCGGTTTACTCACTCTACGAGGACAGGGCGGATCGCCCCTATGGTACGAGCGCCATAGGGGGGATCCGCCAAGCCCTCTTTCCACCGGTCCCGCATGCGCTGCGCTGCGAGGCGGCGCTCCCGCTCGACCTCTTGGGGAGCAGGGCGCTCGCCTCGGTCCCTCATTCCCCGCCGGTAGGCGTGGACCTCCGCCAGGACCTCGGCTTCGAGGTCCCACGGCGGAGTACCGGCGAGGGCGCCGCACACCCTGCACCAGCACTGGGTAAGGTGCTTTCGGCGCTGGATAAGGCGCTTTACGTTCTGGTCCTAACTTCGTACATACGTTGGTTTTAAATGAACAAATCTACGTTAAAAATAATTGTAAATAAATCTTATTTAATACAGTTCTCAAAACGTGGTATTTTTCGTACTACAAATCGTGCCGAAAGTTGGATTTTTCGCACTAGTGCTTTTTACTTTTCCATTTTTTTAAATTTACTATTGTTTCAAGTATTAAACATAGAACTAAAAAGGTTGTACTGTATATTTATTTAATATTTATGTGCCTTGTGACGTAAAGTCATTCGTCTATAATATTTATATTTACTTACAAACATCTTATTTGTTTCAATTGCATAGCTGTTTTATAAAACAACGGGTTACATTAAAAAATACCAAAATATTTTCCATAAAGATGTATGATAGAGTACTATCATGTAACGACGCCGCGTCGCTAAAATAGTCATTTTAATGTGGCTGAATACTGGCAACAGTTGCCATTGTCACACGCCTGCATATCAAGCTACACATTGGTGTTTCTCATTCCGTTGTACTGGAGGCGATTTTCGAACAAAAATGTGTAGTCTGATGTACCGTTGTCGAATTTTTATCAGACAAGGAAATAAAATGAGTTTTATTAAAAATACTGTTCTATTTCACTTTCAATGTAGTTTTCTCGCAAATGTATTAAAAAACGTCGTTTGATACACGTTGTCATTTTCACTTGTCTCGAGTCTTGACCCTCGCCTCTGGCTCTGGTGAATAATGACTAACTTTCCGCACTTGTATCAAAAATAACTATTACAGTATCAGCGCCGCGCATGGGATCGGTGGGTGCGGCGTCTTTAGGCGCACGTAGGGATGCGCCCGCGCCTCGAGCAGCGCCTAGCGTGCGTTCCGACGAGCGGCCCACAGCTACACAAGGGGATATGCTTAACAGCATAAAGGTGAGATTTCCGTAAACAAATATACACAAATAGTCCTAGGCCATCGAGTGTATGACCAAAAATAGTGATGAAATAAGGGTCATCCATTCCTGGCAACTCATCACGCAAATGGACCTTATGTCACTTTAAATATCAACTCTCGTTTGCACTGGGGCCTTACCATGAACTCTTATTGCGATTCAGTTTAGGACCTAAAATGAATCGTTGTGGGACAGCGCTACATGAAGTGTATATCGCCATCCCGCTTTTTTGTCGTTACGAACCTATACTGAACTGTAATAAGAGGTCATGATAAGGCCCATGAAATCACAAATTAGAAAGCCGAAATAATACAGCGGCAGCGCCAACAACTGACTTGTGTGTACGCCTGCATATATTATATATATATAGTACTTTTTACCTGAAATACAGGAATTTCCTAGTTCAGGTACATGTGTTATTTTTACATTAAATCGCATAAGTAGTCTTTAGTTTTCTCTGTACATTATGTTACTGAATAAACAATTTTAATTTTTTAATTTTAATATTGTATTTATTGCAATAAAGATCTCTATTTGGGGTTGTTCCATTCGATGGTGTCAGAAAAACAGCAAAACATCTAATTACAAAACAAACAAAATTACATTTCATCGGTAATTAAGTATTAAATATGCAATTTTATAGTTTTCGTCCATTATAGCAAAACTGAAGTTAAACTGGTCGTTTTGAAATGAAACCCGTCAATTGTTTCGAATTCGAGCTGGCCAATCGGAGCGCAGTTGTCACCGTAGTGATATTGGCAGAATAGTTTCAAACAAATTAAATGACATTTCTCTACTTCTGGTTATCGACTCGATGTCCTAGGCGTCCCGTTATATTGGTGTATTGTACTCCAACGAAACGTAGTTATAGGCATTAGTATTTATTGTATTTATTTCGGATTTCTTTCAGTTTCAGCCTGATCACGCTAATGATTGTCTAAATTGTATTATCTGAAGACGTAGAGTAATTTAATGAGTAGGTTATGAACGGTGAATGTACTTTAATTCGTGATAAATTAACTTTGAAGAAAAATGAAAACGAGGAAAATTTAAATTTTTAACGCCTAGTAAAACATTGTGAGTAGGTATCCGCTCGTATAATTCAAGTGTAGGCGCTTGCCTCTATTCCTTGTTTAATATGGTGATGGTGAATTTACACTAATTAATAAAAGATTTTGGCTTTTGGAAATTAAAACTTAATTTACACTTGAAATGTTTTCTTGAAACTTAACTTTACTCTAGCCAGGGGGGCTAGTATGAGCTCTTATAGCAATCCTGACAAGTTGAATTGCCTGCTACTTATGTAGAATAAATGTATTTACGTCAGATGTACGTTTACAGTCCACCTTTTTTTTTACGGTAAAATCGTATCATGTCTTGCCATACGACTGAAGGTCTCGTTGATACGCGTTTTCCTACTTGTTTGTTAGCGGCTAGGCCCTAAGATATTTCGCTTTGTATTCATCACGTAACGCTCTATTATTTATTACTATCTCTAGACACATTGGGAGCAAAGGGGACTGGGCAGCAACTTCACGTGCACGGTGAAAAGTACCATAGGTGCTAAGTAAAGCCCGCCGGGAATAGGGCATCTATTTATCCATCGAATTTCTTCATATAGGTTCACCCTGCTCTTGAATGATAAATGCTTGATCGTTTCAGTTCCAGAGAAGATTCAGAGAAACGCCAATTGACCATAGTAAAGTTAGGTGAGTGTATCTTATTAGAATAGAACAGAATAGAATTCATTTATTGTGTGAATGTGGTGAACTTTAAGATCTTATGAACATAATTACAGTCCTCACAATCTACCCGCTAGGGGTCAGTGTCAGTTTTATAAGAATAATATAAAAAATATGGCGATCGTCGCCAGTGCCAGCTTTCCATTATACGTTACCACGGGTTGGTGATGCTGTCATTGTCAAGTGTAAACTCGGACCATCAACGGATTTAATAAATTAAATTATGTTGTTATAATTATTAATACAAAGATCGAACACTTAGAAAAAACACTCAGAAAAAATTCCTTTGATCCGGTCGGATTCGAACCGACGTCTTCTTGCATACCGTGCCAGACGCTATACCAACTAAGCCACGGAACGAACCAACGGACCTCACGAATTTTTCTATGTGCTTGCGTCGTGTCTTTGTACTTGGTCTTTCAACGACTTTTTAGTCGTAGCGCCATCTATGAGAAATCTATTACAGATTTATCACCCAGTTAGTACCTTTACAGCTACCAGTCCTGGCGAGAAATGTCGCTATTCACTGTATTAATTAAATTTTTATTGAATTGATATTCAATTATTTTTTGTGAAATTACTCCTTTAGTTTGTTATAATTATTAATACAGGGTTTTAAAAAAAATTCCTTCGATCGGATTCGAACCGACGATTCCGACCGGATCGAAGGAATTTTTTCTGAGTGTTCGATCTTTGTATTAATAATTATAACAAACTAGTGGAGTAATTTCACAAAAAATAATTGAATATCAATTCAATAAAAATTAAATTATGTTGGTTTTTATGAAGGATTTATGTAATTTTCTATAATTGTTTCTAATTAATTTTGCATGCACATGTAAAATAAAGCCGATTTTATTTTACTTATTTTTTAAATGCATCTGCTATAGAAATTTAAACAAAGTCAGAAATAGTAATAAGAAAACCAGTATTTCGATTTTCCTGCAGCTTTAATCCAACCTTCTCTTATTTTGAACTCATTGGAAAAACTTAAAAATTAAAAATACTCTACGTTTAATCTACGAGTATAATGGAATTTAAATATCTAAATTATCTAAAACAATAATAGTTATACATTTTTCTTCAAGCAACATCAACATACAAATTGACATGAAATTGAAACGGTTGCCCGAAATATGAGTTGTGTTAAAGTTACTCGAAATAAAATGATTAGTAATAATAATAATATAGAAATAAAAGAAATCAATTTAACGTGAATGCTTTTCGCTTCGACATTTTAGGGACTTTAATTACAATAATCATAGTAAAAAATTCACACATTCATAGCCCCGCACTAGGGAAACCCTGTATCGCGGGTGCCATGGACTCACACATAGACAACCATAAATTACACCCAAACTCACGAGATAAATAAATGCAGGCAATACAAATATTTCTTCCGGCCCGGGAATCGAATCCAGGACCTCTGCGTGGCAGTCCAGCATTGTAACCGTTCGGCTACGGAGGCAGTTAATTTACTAATTTTTAGAATATTTCAGAAGCGCAGCTGCAGCGCCCTAGTCGCGCCACTATTGTAAATTATTTATTTATTTATGTTCAGGTTATAAAGATCCATAAATACATACCTCATAGACTAACGTACATAACATAATGTACATAACAATATAATAAAACACTAAGTAATTACTAATTATTTAAACGTATTGTCTGCGACGTGTGACGCACCGTGGTTGTCCGGTAGCCGGTCTCGGAAACGTTAGTATATGACACCCTTCGGCCAAAGCTCCTTCATGAAGGTCCTCAAATGTTGAATTGTTACTCTCGCCATAAATGAATTAAAATTCACATGGTGGCGAGACCCCAACTGCTCGACACTCGGGGTATTATTGGCTTTCACCCGTAGGTATGTACTCCACAATGCCCACAGACTGATTGAAAATAAAACAGAAATTATATAATAATTAGTAGTGCACTACAGTGCTTTTGTAAGTGTCTAATTTGAAGGCGCCTTAAGATTTGGTAGTGGCTATTCGCGTTGTTGCATTAGTCATACACTTCACGAGACTTAACACTAAATTTCAAATGTAACTGCCTCCGTGGCCGAACGGTTACCATACCGGACTGCCACGCAGAGGTCCCCGGGTTCGATTCCCGGGCCGGGAGAAATATTTGTATGGCCTACATTTATTTCTCTCGTGAGTTTGGGTGTAATTTGTGGTTGTCTTTTTTTTCCGCCAGGTGGCGCACTAAAGTAAACATCTGTTCCGTGTCTTAATTTATTTAAAAATTGTATATTTATCAGTACAGTGACAGAAACGATTACAAACATTATATGTGGACACTATACGCGTGTGAAAGTGTTTGTGACAATATTCGTTAATGTGTTTTTAAAATATAGAACATTATTAATTTTGTGTCATAACAACTTAAATCGACCAAGTATACTTAAATAAATTTAAATCAAAAGCAGCCCATTTCTATGACAAATCTATTGAAAGTGTTAAAACTTAATAACAAACAGTGGAAAAGTGCTTAAATTTAAATTAAAAATTTTAACGAACTATTGGTGTAATCAAAGTGATCAGTGGATAACAAAAGTGACCTTTGGACTTTGTTGCTGACGGACAACGCAACGATTGTACATCGTGACTCGCTATTTCGACATCAAAAGTATCGTGTTCATGGTTCAACGGTAGAATGGCAGAGGTTGCTTTCGAATGACTTAGAGCTCGAGTTCGATTCCGAGACATTATTATTATTATTTTTTTTTTAAGTCTTATTATTCTTTTTTTTGCTTTTTATTTTGTTTTCTTAGAAAATAAGCATATTCTGTAAACGATGGCCTCAAAAAAAGGAATAAAGAGTACCGACAGCGGCCGCAAGGTGGCGACACTAGTAGCATGTCACAAATGTCGATCCGTTATTGACTTGAAAGATGCCATCAAATGTTCAGTGTGTAAAAATACGTATGAATTTGACTGTGCCGGATTTTCAGAGAAACTGTATAGATTAATGAGACAAGATTCGCGAAAGAATTGGAAATGTAAACAATGTATTCACCCAAAAGGAAGCCTAAATTTGTCAGATAACGATCAATCTAATGTAACGACGAGGAAAAGGGATCACAAAACATCCTCAGTAACAGATAGTGTAGCGGAAAAGGTTGCAGTTGCACCAATAATTAATAAAAGTGTCTGTGATGATAACAATACACCTGCTATTATCCAGTTCGAACTTTCCGCACAAAGTTTCGATTCACAAATATTCGACAGTGAGGCGAGCACTCCTGAAAAATTATCGAAGAGTTTAGATCGTACAATAAAGCAACACAGCGATACAACACGCACAGAAGAGTTTCAAAAAGAAATGAAAGCACTAAAGTTGGAGTTAATGAGTACACAGAATGAATTTGAAAACACAATAATAGAAAATAATGAACTAAAAAGACAAATCAATAAACTAACATCCGATATTGAGATGTTGAAAACCTTGTGTCAAACTCCACCTTTAAAGAAAAGCAACTTGAAGAAAAACAGGCAATACTTGATAAATTCATCACCTATTTTTCAAAATACACCAAATCTTAATATTGATTATGAGAATACTAAAGTGGAGCATCTACAAGAGAAAATTAAAAATTTAGAAAAGGAATTACAAAAAATGGAAGTATTTAGACAGAAGCTCAACGAAGAAATAGAAAGTTTAAAACAAGAGTCAACAGAACTAAAAAACAGGAAAGAGACGTGCACAACTATATTAGAAGAAAGATACACAAAAAAAGTTGGAACATCAAGCATCTACATTTTTGGTGATCAACAGGCATCGGGATGGTCTGCTGATCTAATGAAAATCAGATCAAAAGAACGCAGAAATGTACATGATTACACCATTTTTGGCAACATCAAGGCAAATGCCGTTACTAAACATGTCATAGCAATGAGTGCTAAAACTATAAAAAACCTGAAGCAAGACGACTACGTAGTGATATCAATTGGTTCAAATGACTGCAATCCCACTAAACTAATTGCAGACTTAACAGTAGCACTCAGTGAACTTTCTAATACAAATGTTATAGTTACGAGTGTAGATAAAAATCCACATTTAAATGAGAACATGTTAAATAGTTCCTTAAAAACATTGTTAACTTGTTTTGACAACTGCTGTTATATTGATTTGACTAAGTGCAGGGGTTCTGTGGGCAAAGTGCTTGCGTTGAACAAATATATCAATACTAGGGATTATAATAGAACATATTTAAATTATAACAATCGTAAATATAAAATTCATAACATGCACTCAGAAATGATCTCATCTTTAAATCGCACATGTAATATTTCAAAAATATCTAAACCGACTAATTCAAAAGATTCTTCCCAGACAAGGATAACGGACTACTTTAAACATATTAAGATAACTTGTAATAGTGGAAAGTATTGCGATTTGAATTACAGCGAAGGGAATTCGAACCATAGTTTTTTTCGTGAATAAAAGTAAAGGAAGTTTTAAGGTTTTCCATATGAATATCCAAAGTATTCGCTCGAAACTAAATGAAATTGACATTTACATAGATTCGCTCGCAGATACGGCTCCGGATGTACTATGTTTCAGCGAAACGTTCCTAAAAAATGGCGATCAGACTTGTGTACATATAGAAAGTTATAAATTAGCGGAATATTTTTGCAGGAAAAATCACAGACGGGGTGGAGTATGCATTTTCGTTAAAAATACTATACATTTTAATAAACTGGAATGGTTACATGAATTTGCTGTAGAGGAAAATTTCGAGTGTTGTGGGGTAAATATTCCTGACTTGAAAACAATAATAGTATGCCTATACAGGTCTGGTAAAAATTTTACCATCTTCTTTGATCGGCTTGAATGTCTCTTATTCAAATTGACCAGAAAACATAGAAATTTAAATAATAAAATAGTGTTAGTGGGTGATTTCAATATTAACCTTTTCCAAAAGGATAACATTACGTCAGGTTTCCTGGAAATCCTTAGCA